CATCTACTAATTAGCATGACGTAAATTTCCATGCTTCCTCCTCAAATATAATACATTTTTTAAAAGTTTGGTGATTTGTTATGTGTGTGTGTGTGTGTGTGTGCGTGTATCACACAGAACAAAACCATCTTATTCGACTATATACCCACTTCCCAGTTAGCACCCTCCCATAGACTCCCTCCCCCAACTAGAGCCCTTATATTCTGATATTCCTGATACTGTCTGCTGTGTTGTCGGCACCCCGAGCCAGTCCCCACTGCTTGCCCTTCTGTTGAATCTAGTCAGCCTATCTAGAGGTCTTTGTTTTAGGAGGGTCAGCTGTTCCTCTTCTAGCAGCAATCAGTTGTCAATACTTCTTTAGATAAGATTAGGGTCTGCTGTTCATTTTCCCAGTTCAGTGCTGGGTTACTATCTGGGAGTCCCTTTGGTCACCCTGGCCAACAACTCAAAAGAAGGTATCTCCTATCTGGCATTGTTGCTTGTTATGTAGCCTTTAGCTATGCATATGGACTCTTAAGAAATTATATTGACCCCTTTAATCTCTAGTTATACTTTCCTTTTGGATGTTTGAGGCAATACAGTTGACCCTGATAAACCAATTTATTTTACTCTTAAGGTCCTTTGAGGACCTGTTCCTCAGGGGTCACATGGGCTTGGGAGGAACCCCTGGCTCCTTTCTTTTACCAGTTCCACCTATGTGAAGATAAGTCAAAGGTCCTGCTCGACCATGGTTGGCTTCACTTGGAAGCATGGAGGAAGTGATTCCTCTGTGTTGACACTTCTCTTTCTGACTGGACACTGGTTCAAGTCCATCTGGTGGGGTCTCCTCGGCCTCCTTGATCAAGTGGACAGGTGACCCACCACCATTATAGGACATTTTGAGAGATGCTCATAGTCCCCTGGAACTAGTCAACCTAGGAGGGCAAGGAGCAAAAAGTGTCCTTTATGTCCCTCTGACCCAATTAGTATAGGCCTCAAAGTATGTCTGTTAGACATCGAAGAAGGTTAGTTCTACCAGTCTGGTACTTTTAATTACTGTGTACCATATAGATAAATTTTGGGCAAAGACCAGTTGTTCTCAGATAAACTTTACCTAGATATATATTTCTTGATCTGTTATGTATAATTTGTCAGTAGGTTGTAGGAGTAATATGGTTCCCTCTGGAACTAGTTAGGCATTATTTATCTCATGCATTGTCTCACCCCTCCACCATAGTTTTCCCACTTAAGGTGCTCCCATTCCCACCCTTTTTCCCTTAGTAATACCCTTCTCCTATGATCCTACCTCTCTTGAGCTCCTTCTTTTCCCTTATCCCCTAGGTTCCTTGTATACCCTTCCCTGCCCCCTCCCTTAAACTAACCCAATTTTGTCTCTATCTCCCTTATTAAGGCCTGTTTCCTTTTGTCCTTCCCTTTCAGGTTCTTTTTTTTTCCTTTACCTCCCTGTTTCCTTTCCATTATCCTGGTTCCTGTAGTTATGACTGGAAACCATACTCATTTATCAGGGTTTTGTTCTAGGATCCACATATGAGGGAAAACATATGTCGATATTTTTCAGAGTCTGTGTTACTTCACTTAGTATAACAGTTTCTAGTTCCATCTATTTATCCTCAAATTTCATGATTTCATCTTTCTTTATTGCTGAGTAAAACTCCATATAAATGAACCACATTTTCATTATCTACTCATCAATTGAGGGACTCTTAGGTTGCTTCCATCTCTTAGCTATTGTGAAAAGGGCAGCAACAAACATGGATGTACAAGTGTCTCTGCAATAGGATGAGTTCATTTGTAGTTTTTTAAGAGTTCTCCACACTGCTTTCCATGGGGGTTGAACAAGTTTGCAGCCCCACCAGCAGTGGATGAGTGTTCTCCTTTCCCCACATCCTTTCCAACATTTGGTATCATTTGTTCTCTTGATCTTAGCCAGTCTGACTGGGGTAAGATGAAATCTTAAAGTAGTTTTAATTTGCATTTCCCTAATTATTAGTGATGTTGAAGATCTTTTAAGATGTTTTATAGCCATCTTTACTTCTTCTTTTGAGAACTCTCTGTTCAACTCCTTAGCCCAAATTTTAATTGGGTTGCTTCTTGTCTTGATTCTCTGTTTTTTGAGAATGTTATATATTCTGGATATTAAACCTGTCAGATGTGTTGCTGGTAAAGATTTTCTCCCATTCTGTGGGTTTTCTGTTCGCTTCCCTGGTTGCCTCCTTTGATGTACAGAAGTTTTTTAGTTTAATGAGGTCCCATTTTTAATTCTTGCCCTTGTTT